AGGAAGGAAGGAAGGAAGGAAGGAAGGAAGGAAGGAAGGAAGGAAGGAAGGAAGGAAAAGAAGGGAAGGGAAGGAAGGAAAGAAGGAAGAAAAGAAGAAAGGAAAGACAAAAGATGGTAAAGGGAAGAGAAAGAGAGAGGAAGGAAGGAAGAAAGGAAAGAAAGAGAAAAGATGGAGAAGAACAGAAGGGGGAAGGAAGGAAAGAAGGAAAGAAGGAAAGAAAGAAAAAAGATGGAGAAGAAGGGGAAAGAAGGGGAAGAAGGAAGGAAAGAAAGAAGGAAAGAGAAAAGATGGGGAAGAAGGGAAGGAAGGAAGGAAAGAAGAAAGAAAGAGAAAAGATGGGGAAGAAGGGTGGGATAGGAAGGAAGGAAGGAGAAAGGATGGAGAAGGAAGGAAGGAAAGAAGGAAAGAGAAAATATGGGAAAGAAGGGAAGGAGGAGGAAGGAAGGAAAGAAAGAGAAAAGATGGGGAAGAAGGGGTGGGGGAGGGAGGAAGGAAGGAAGAAGAAAAAATGGAGAAGGGGGAAGGAAGGAAGGGAGAGAAAAGATGTAGAAGAAGGGAAGGGAAAGAAGGAAAGAGAAAAGAAGAAGGGAAAGAAAGGGAGGGAGGGAGGGAAGAAAGGAAGGAAGGAAGGAAGGAAGACAGATGCTGGGAAGCAAAAGTCCTTGTTCCCATTATTGTGTTTATTTCCAAAGTTACATCTGGGACCCACAGAATATCTCCTGGAATAGTAGAGGGCATTCTAGAGCTTTCAGTTTTGTCCATGGCCAAAATGCTATTGTCCCAGCTGCCATTTTATGGAGCAGGCAAATCCTTCTGGTGAAGGCACCCACAGAAATTAACTCTGAAGATTCCCATTTCCTTCAGAAAGTTTATCCTGCAACAGAATCTAGCGAAGAGACCCGTCGGTATTATTGTTCTTGCTGCTCTTAGCATCTCGTGTTTTCCTCTCCTTTGTGCTCCTCCAGCATTTTATACCGCCCGCTATGGCTACAAGCTCTGCCTGAAGCTTTTCCTGAATGGAGATGGGGCTGGTGCTGGAACTCACCTTTCGCTCTTCCTGGTTGTGATGAAGGGAGAATACGATTTCCAGCTGAAATGGCCTTTCCAACATAAGGTAGGATAAACTGGTGGTAAGGGGACATAGCATAGGAAGCTCTTTCCCTCCCTCAATTCTCCTGGCTGTGGCTGCCACCCGTTCTCCCAAACAGCAGCTACAAGTTCAAGAGGATTCTCAAAGTGCATACCAACTCTTTTTGGGAGAGTGCCATCCCAAAAAAAAGGGAAATGGTGGCTCAGTGGCTAAGATGCTGAGCTTGTCGATCAAAAAAGTTAGCAGTTTGGAGGCACGAATCCCTAGCACTGCATAACGGAGTGCGCTCCCGTTACTTGTCCCAGCTTCTGCCAACCTAGCAGTTCGAAAGCACGTAAAAAATGCAAGTAGAAAAATAGGAACCACCTTTGGTGGGAAGGTAACAGAGTTCCGTGCGCCTTCAAAGTTTAGTTATGCCGGCCACATGACCACGGAGACGTCTTCGGACAGTGCTGGCTGTTTGGCTTTGAAACAGAGATGAGCACCGCCCCCTTAGAGTCGGGAACGACTAGCACATATGTGAGGGGGGAATCTTTACCTTT